CCACGGTAAAGGGGGTTAACTCTTTAGTGACTGAGCCCAGCACACCACCAAAGCTCACAGCGTAGAAGCCAAGCTGTTGAGGCTACCAGGAAAACTTTCCTCCTGTGTCAAAGAACGTCTCATACATGCCTCACACCCAAGCTCCTCTTTCTCCGAGTTACCCAGAGACTTCCCTTTTATCAAAAATTTTTTGTTATGGAGTTTGCTCTCTCCTCATGCCACACATTCTCAGATTCTCCTGCTGACCCTATGGATAATTTTAGAAATGCATCCGTTGAAATGATGCCTTTTACTGTAGTGTAATGAGGACATGGAAGAAGGCAAAGGCGTACCTTAATGTAACTAAATAGTTAACTGTGTAAAAGTTGATAAGGAGCTGTGATACCAAGATTGGAATATCACTACAATTGGGCTTTTTTTTTGCACCGTAAGCGTTTGGTAAAATTCTCATAAAGGTCCAGTGCCAAATGATGACGACATAAACGCTCCTTAATCAATAGAATAATGTACCACAACGGTTTTGAGGCAAGTCCCTAAGTTAACACGTACCTGAGATGGTTTTGATTATAGCAGGACATGTTAGAAACTACTGTCATTGAGATTATCCTCTTTTAAAAATCAAAAAATCAATCATCTCATCATGTCAAGACGAGGTGTTTCGAATATGAAGGGGATTAGCAAGACATGCGGGCAGGGTTTCAGTTGGTGGGAGTTCTTCTTTGATAACGCTGGGAGCATTGTTCAGCTGTCATGGTCTACGGATATTAGTGGAAGAAGCCTTGCCGGGAGAGGCCGTTTTTTTAAATCTGAATTTGAGAATTTAGATCCCCGAATTTCCCGCAGAAGTGCTATGTACCTAAAAGCCTGTCCATTTTATTAATAGAAGGTATTATTTCACCTTCCAAATCACGCCTTTTTGATTTTTAACAAAAAAGGTTAGCTCTGCCTCTTGATTTCGGCTTAACTGAGCTGGTGATTTTTAATAATTTCAGTGGGATGAGTCAGCATCAAATTGAGCGAGAATAACAACTGTTGATTAGGCTGACCATTGGACTGGGTGTTAGGAAACACTTCTCTGTCACACGAGCTGTTCCTTGCTTTAATTTCTGCTCATTTATTGAAACAAATTCTTTAGGCATTTCCTTTTTGCTGGATGTTTTCCTAAATCTCTTTAAGGAAAACATTAAAAAAATTAGATTTTCATTAGATATGGATATGAACACTTTCCATTCACGTGTTTTTAATTTTTAAACAGTTTTTTAAGTCATGGGAAATAAGGTTTAAAAACACATACTTCACCAACAGAGGTCACTGAGCATTTCCTCTGATGAATTCAAATATACAGTATGAAAATGGATGACTTTAGCTTGAGAATTTAAATGGAAAAAGGCAACCTGTGTTATGTGAGCGCGGTCTGAATGGTACCCCATCCCAAAATGAAACCATCAGATGCTTAGTTTGGAGGAAGCAGGAATATGATGTTAGACTGCAGTCAGTATCTGCTTATTTCAGTTATTTCAAAAGTCCTAAGCAGACAGCTTAGGGGAGGGAGAAATTAATTTCATTGACAAGAAGGGAGTCAGGTTAGACTGCTGGGGAAAATCACGTCTTTGCTGCCCCACAGTCTAAACCAGGTACCGAGCAGGAAGAAGGGTCTGATCTGAAGGAGGAGCTGGAGAGGAGTGGGAGGGAAGGAACAGCTGTTCCTCATTTTTGAAAGTGTCGTGGAATTTATGTGGGCAGTCAGGCAGAGGGATAAATTACTCAACGAGAAGGCCAAGGTTGTAGGTAAGAGTCAACCAGATACCCACCAGAAGGTGCTCCAGGCACATGAGTACAACACGACAGGGCTCAAATCTGGCTCAAATCTGGCAGCTCTTCTGCCTGGGAGACAAATGGCCGTGGCTTACCCAATACCATTGGCTGGTAGAAGCTGGTTGCTGCATTGCAGGCAAATAGTTCTTGGTCTTTTAAGTCATACGACCTTTCTCTTTGTTTCTGCAGACACGGGAGCTCTGTCTGGTGGAGTCATAGTCTCTATTGTCTTCGGAGTGCTAATATTTATTGGGCTGTCTCTGGCACTTCTCATCTTTCGGCAAAAGTAAGTGTCAATTTTTGGTATGGAGAAAGGTATAGGTGTAGGAATAGCTGAGCTATGGGAGCTTGAGAAAGGGAGGGAGGCCCTGGTTTCTCACAGGGCATTGGATACGCAGAGGTTAGAGAAGAAAGAGAAAGACAGGTGCACTGCGGCAAGATGGAATGAGTAATTTTGATTAGCAGGATTGGAGGGATTGACATGTCTGTAGGATAATGCTTGCTGCTAAGGACAGAGGAAAATGTGTCGATCTCTCACTTTTGTTATAATCCATCACTGTCGTACTGTTATCATGACAGACGAATAAAAATATTGTTATGGCACAATCATTTCTATTGCTGCTGATGAGGTATTGTACTGAAAGTGTACAGAAAACAGAAAATAAATAGAGATTTATCTGTAATTCGGCAAGCAGAAGGATAAAAAAAGCTACCTGCATGAAAATAAAGCTCCATTTCTAAATGCAAATGAAGGATCACATTTTCTTGCTAGCTGTACCCTACCAAGTAGGTGCAGTGTCTGGTTCCTCTCTGCCACCTTGAACCCTGTCCCTGACCAACTAGGGCAGACACCCTGCAAGTCTTGCTTTTCTCTTTGCTCTCTGCTGAACATTTTATGTTCACGACTGGTTCTTACGTTCCAGGCAGGCTCGTCGGAGACAAGCACGGCCAGATTACAATACTTCAGGCTTTGATCGAGGTGAGCTTCAAAGGCAGAACCGGGGAGAAGCCTGGGATGGGTTGGAAAGAACGAACAGAAACAGCAGTTTGAAAGCAGACACTGGCATGGGCTTGCTGATGTAATTTGCCTCTTCCCATAACAGCTCTAGTCTTCAGTGTATGTTTGGTAGATTTGTTTACTGCCATTGCCAGAAAATCCATGGATTCGCCCTGCTTCTGTAGTTTTGCCCTACAAAGCTTGTCCGAAGGGTTGACAGGTTAATTTGCTCTTTTGTTCCCATAGAGAAAGTCTGGTTGAAGCCCTACGTAGACCTGCAGCCGTATGAAGACCCCAGCAGAGGGGTGCTGGAATTCACTAAGGAACTGGACACCTCTTGTGTCACTATGGAGAATGTGATTGGAGAGGGTGAGTTACTACTCTCCCCATCTTTCAGTTCCCCCACACTGTTATTTTGCTGCCCATTGCTGAGTTCATCTGTGTCCTTTTGCCTCTGGTTGTCCTCAGGGGAGTTTGGGGAGGTCTATCGTGGATCCCTGCGGCTCCCAGGGAAAGAACGTCTCGTGGTTGCCATCAAGACCCTGAAGCCGACGTATTCAGACTCACAGTGGTGGAATTTCCTGCGCGAGGCAACGATTATGGGGCAGTTCAATCACCCAAACATTGTGCGCCTGGAAGGAGTTGTCACCAAAAGTAAGAGCGTTTGTGGGAGAGTTCTGGAAGGACAGCAGCCGCATTTCTTGGGCCTTCCTTAGAGAGGATGCTGTCAGGGAGGTTGTGCTGGGAGAAGACAGGCATTGTCGCGTTAGCCTGTGGCAGCGCATGAGGAAGGGAGAAGTACGGATTCCGACAGAGTCGTGAGGCGGTGTTAGGAGAGGTTGTCTTGGGTTGGCGAGTGGATGAGAAGTTGGGATGGAGGATGCTGTAAGGTTGTATGTGTGACACGAGGAGGGATACAAAATCACTGGGGGAGATCTAAGGAGAAGGGTCAGCCAATTGTGCCAGTGGGGTGGGAATGTTGGCTGGGGTTGGATATGGATCTCTGTGCTGGGGCAACGTGGAGAGCATTGAATGGCAAGAGTAGGAGAATTGCAGAAAGGCTGACACCTCCTTGTCTTCCTCAAGGGAGGCCAATGATGATCATCACCGAGTATATGGAGAATGGAGCGCTGGATACCTTCCTCCGGGTGAGAGACTCCGATCTGTGTTCGGCTTGTGTACTGCCGGAACTTGCACTTGACCTGGATTTAGGACCCTAAAGAAGACTAGAAATAAGATCCAGACATCCACTTACTTTCTGCTCACTAACGTTTCCAGTCTCAGCAGCTGACACTTGAGGCCATCCAGTTTTCCCAGTGCCCAGAGTGCTGCCTTTGGTGGTGGAAGTGCAGGTGCCTAACGATGACTCTGGAGACCACCACCAGTCCCTTAGCAAGAACCTGTTGGGTCCTTTGGGCTGCAGCATTACCCTCTCGTTTGTTCACCAATGCCCACTTTTGCAAGTTGCTAAGGCCGGTAACTGGAAACCAAGCAGATTGATGTCACTTGACCAGGATCTTCTCTCACTTCTTCTTCCATGCAGGAGAATGAGGAAAAATTTAGCCCTGTGCAGCTTGTGAGCATGCTGCAGGGAATAGCCTCTGGCATGACCTACCTTTCAGAACAGAACTATGTGCACCGGGATCTGGCTGCTCGCAACATCCTGGTAACACGCAGCCTTCAGTGCAAGGTGTCTGACTTCGGTCTCGCCCGAATATTGGAGAATGATGCAGAGGGAACTTATGAAACCAAGGTAATTCAAAAACAATCTCTCAGTCTTGAAAATGAACTGTAGTCTCAGGGAGATCGGGATTCTGCCAGGTAAGGATGGCAGAATTTCTTCACGGTAGGAAACGCCAGGCCAGGGGGAGATTTGGATGGAAAATCTCCGAGGAGAACCCACGATAAAACTGCACGTCACAGTGTGGGTGATTCAGGAGGTGGTGCCTTCCTGTCTGCAGTCCGTGTTGATTTGGACTGCTGAGAGATTCAGAGGGATGGCGGTTTGGAAATGAGGAGTAAGATAAGAGGTCTCGTCCTTTGGACTCAGCTAACGGCATGTAGCGTTGGAGATAGCCCCGCTGCGACCAGGGCTTTGGACTAGAGACATCTACAGGTGCATTTCAACGGACGTTCCAGTGATCCTGATGTCTGGTGTCATTCAAAGTAGGGCTGTTACTGGTGTCAGGCTCTTACTCCCACAGCGGTGGTTTTGTGTAGCATTCAGCTGGACGGAGGCCTTAAACTCATTCACTTTCCAAGAATGTTTCTGTCCTTCTGAGAAGTTTCCCCGGGAGTGGTTAAACGTCAGTTCAAGTGAAGTGGGCCTGGTCTTTGAACCCCTTTGTAAGCTCCTTGCATAAAAGCACTGGAGAAATACAGCTCAGTGATACACGCTGCATACACTATGTCTCTGCTTTTTCACAGGGTGGCAAGATTCCCATCCGGTGGACAGCCCCAGAGGCCATTGCTCATCGGATTTTCACCTCAGCCAGTGATGTCTGGAGCTTTGGAATCGTCATGTGGGAGGTGCTGTCGTTTGGTGACAAGCCTTATGGGGGCATGACCAATCAAGAGGTAACAGACAATGAGCTCAAGTGCTGAGTTGAAAAAATGAACGAGGCACGTAGGCCCAGTTTTTGTAGATGTCCCCTGTCCTGCAGTCTTGACATCCTTTTCAATGCATAACTACTGTGTCTCCCTCCCTGGTAAAAATCAGCGCAACCAAGTCAAGGGAAGTAAATGCTTGGGCCTCTGAACCATGTTCAGGTGTCAACAGCAGTGAACCAAATTGCAGACGGGTTATATCAGCCATGGCCGTTGGGTCTGGAGATGTTCTCTGTTGGTTTCTTCCTCTCCTC